ATGCATCGCTGTAGATGAAACCACCCAACCGTAAATAAAGGAGTTGAAATGAGCACAACCTTAAACATCTACAGCTGTAAAATGACACATACAAATTAATGCAGCAGTAATATTAATCCAAACACACCAGATAGAAAAGGAAAGTACTGTCAGGGAACATTTCACTGCAAAATACTTACTGTTACTTTAAGTAAGATGTTGAATTTAAAGACTAGTTGCACAAAACACATTTAGATTTCTCCTTGAGTATGACACTCAAGGCTTAAATTCTCCTTAGCTGGGGGACTTGTTGCACAGTTGCACAGAATTCCTTAATAGGTTTCCTTAGTATTCCTTAGTAGAGCCAGTTGGCAATACTTGGTGTGGCCCGAAGAGATCTGGGTCTCCTCCGAGCCCAGACCTGTGCTTCATCATTGCTAGCCAGACGTCTCATTCTGTACAACTAGAAGTCTAACCTGCCTCTTCTGTTTGGACGCTGGGTCAATGATTTCAAGTAAAGGAAATCTTAAGGAGAAGACTGCAGGGAAGTGGTTCCTAACTGGTCCAACCACGGGGTCCTGATTTCTCTTAAAGGGCCAGTGTGTAAAATGGGTTGAAAACAGTGACATCAGTGGTCAAATTCTAGATTGCAGGGCTCACTCGCTCACCCCTCCCGTCAGGTAAATGACGGTGGCCTCGTAGGGACAAAAAGCCTTGCGCAGACAAGAGTTTTTCAGGAGTAGGTCTATCTAGCGACGAGGTGAATGTTTATTTAGAAATCTAAACCATGTTACGATACTGTAATGAATCCCTCACGATTTAGCCTAGCAATATCTCCGGACTATAGTAGCTGCAATGGACGACTTTGAACGCGATTTTGAAGAGTTTCTTGTAGCGGACACAGACCCAGAGCCATACCTGTTTGAGCCGGAGCATACAGATGAGGAACTCCATGTGTTTGATGCTGAGCGGGTGAGAAGAGAGGCTGAATGCACAGAATGGGATTCGGTGCTACTGCTACCATCGTTGGGGAGATATATCATCAGGAGGAAAAGCGCCGCAGAGAGTGCATCACAAGGAGTGAAGTTGCGTCTTCTTTTCCTCGCAGATGACGGTTCGGGTTCATTCTCTCCTGTTGCGTGGTAAGTGTGGTCCATTCGCAAACTTTATAACTAAAAAAACTTTTCACTACTCTCTATCGACGAACTACTAACACTCTCTGCTGTTTCCTCCTCCTTCTTCCTTCCTTCCGCTGTCTTCGTTGGTTCATTTATACACGCGAAACGCGTTCTCTGGCTGGCTGGATTGTCCGCTCGGTCTGCCGTACATACATGGCGGCGCAAGATGGCGACCTCTCTAAAGCAAGGCCCTTGCTATATATATATATATAAACATAATTATAAGGCTACGACAACCAAACGAATTTTATTTTATAGCGATCATACACTTGTATAAACATATTAATGGGTAGAATATTCAGATTCAGATTCAGATTGACAATAAACCATGCCAAATATTACACACTGGCCCTTTAAGTCATTAGTTCAAGGTCCACAGAGTTGAATATATGTAGTGTCATACTTGCGTTTGGCTAGTTTGCTGTCTCTGCCAATTAGTTCCTCACTCTAGAGCAGGAAATGGCACTTCAAAATAAAAGCTCTGTGCTGAAAATTGTGAGTCACTTGCGATCCATTCAGAATGGATCGTGACCCACTTTTGGACCATGCCTCACCAGTTGGGAACCACTGCATTAGGGTGTTTTGTGTAGCCAAATTTATTTCGAGGAAACTCTTAACTTAAGGTGTTATGTGCAACTTTTACTTGTAGTGGAGCATGGTATCTGTACTTTTACTTCAGTATAAGATCTAGGTATTCTTCTTCCAACGCTAATAACAAGTCCATTACAAAATGCTGACTAAGTCTCCAGAGGGAAAGTAAATGATCACAATCAATGTGGATGTTTTATCATCTTTGTAATATTAAAGCCTTAATGAGTCTGTCTTTATTACGTCCTCAGTAACCCTGAGAAGCTGTGAGACTAAACAGTTTGACATGTGGCTCTGTGCCCGCTCGCTCTTTAACAGTCCGTCACTGTAATGAGCTTTTGTCCCCCAAAAACAACAGATGTGCCGGTTTGAGAGACAGTGGAGAGAAAATAAAGGTAGTGAGGTGTTATAAATCAGGTGACGGTGAAGCAGGGCGAGACAGAGAGATAAGCAGAGATGGCTGGATGAGGGGGAATGTGATAATGAATTCTCTGGTGAATATGTTGTGAAACAGTGTGTGGTTCGTCTGAACGGGGACCAACCCAACACCCAGGAACTGTTCCCAATTACACTGAGGACTCTTTTCACAGATGTAAACATAGGAAGGAGTCCTCTGGGACACGTCCCATACAGCTCAGCCTCTTGTATATGGAATATCTCCAGGTCCTTTACTGCAGTTAAAGAACTAATACCAGCCAACCATCCATCTGTTTTCATGCCCTTATCCTGGGCCGGGTCGCGGGGGCAGCAGGCTGAGCAAGCACCCCAGATGTCCCTCTCCCCAGCAACACTTTCCAGCTCCTCCTGGGGGACCCTGAGGTGCTCCCAGGCCAGATGAGATATATAATCCCTCCAGTGTGTTCTGGGTCTGCCCCAGGGCCTCCTACCAGTGGAACGTGCCCGGAACACCTCTAACGGGAGGCATCCTGATCAGATGCCCGGACCACCTCAACTGACCCCTTTCGACGCCAAGGAGCAGCAGCTCTACTCCTCTCCAGTCTGGATGTCCGAGCTCCTCACCCTATCTCTAAGGCTGAGCCCAGACACCCCACAGAGGAAACTCATTTCGGCCACTTGTATCCGCGATCTCATTCTTTCGGTCACTGCCCAGAGCTCATGACCATAGGTGAGGGTTGGGACGTAGATGGACCAGTAAATCAAAAGCTTTGCCTTCGCTTCAGGCTCCATTCTACCCTCACTCGTGTACAAAACCCCAAGATACTTGAACTCCTTTGATTGAGGCAGTAACTCTCTCCCTAGTCAGAGCGGGCAGTCCACCGTTTTCTGGCAGAGAATCATGGTCTCAGATTTGGAGGTGCTGACTCTCATCCTGACGACTTCACACTTGGCTACAAACTGCCCCAGTGCATGATGGAGGTCACAGTGTGATGAAGCCAACAGAACCACATCGTCTGCAAAGAAATGCAATTCTGAGGTTCCCCAGCTTCAGTCGTTGACAAGGGACAACCCTGGCGGAGGCCAACACCGACAGAGAACATGTTTGACTTAATGCCAAGTATGCGGACGCAGCTATCACTTTGGCCATACCAGGACAGGATGGCAAATACTCTGTAAAAATACTCAAGTACACTACAAATAATAGCCCTACATCGAAAATGACAGAAGTAACATACAATTAACAATAAATAAATAAAAAAAACATGCAAACAAGATGATATAAATAACTAACTCATAAGTAAATAAATGAGCTTCAGAGGTCGTAAAATATCAATACAAATCTTCGGCTGAACTGTCGCCGATCTAGTTGCATTGTGGGTAATGTATGCAGCAGGTTTCAACAAGGAAAAAGAATGCATGAAATAAAAGTCATCTTTGGTTCTGCTGCATCAGTTCTGATGAAGTGCAATTAATCAGTGGAGTTTTCTTTCAAAGTTGACGACCTTTAACCCTTGAAAAAATATAGTAAATAACTATAGAGCTAGCCTGATGTCTGGGACGTTTTCGGTACTTAATGTTACAGTCACATTTCAGTTGGCACTTAGAACGTTTTCAGGTTCAATACAACAACCTTATAAACCAACACATTCTCAATCCGACCTAGACACATATTGACGTTTGGTAATGGACTTTCCACGTCCACATATGACATGCAAGGTACCCTGGGTGCGTTGGTTGTTGACATTCTGGGACAACATGTCAACAACTAATGCAGGTCGTTGGGTTTAGAAAAAAAGAACAGGTCATAATTTAACAGGACGCGAACACCACTCTCCTGGGTGAAAGTCAATGTTTGTTGGACCCATCCACCACCCCTAACACCCACCCACAACGCTCGTTCGTGTCCCGCTGCGTTTCCAGCTGATGCCACTGAGTGTTGTTAAACCATAACGATGATCAGCCGGGTATCGCACCGACGTTCAATGACAGCTTTTTTCGTTAGCGTCTGACACCTGAAGTCACTGCCCAAGCGCCGGATTTCGACAGCTCTGGAGTGAGACTGGGTTGGTCTGTGACATTTTTGGTATATCAGTTAACAGAGCTTTATTTTAGAAAATAAAATGTATGGAAAACAGAGCTGAATTAAATTTTAAATTAACTGAGTGAGTAAAACATAAAAAATTCAAATAATAAAACATGAAGGTGGGGGTGCACTGGGGGCAACTTGGACTACCAAAATCGTAGCCACAGCCCTGCTGTCTGAGTCTGTGTCTCATGTCTGGGCAGTTTTAGGTCAAAGTTCAACAGATAAATGAGTAATCCTGCTTATTGTTGCTTTATTTTCACTTATCTCCTGTTATAAAGTTCAATATAAGATTAAGTGTTGTGGTAAAAACTGCTGACAGTGAGGTGGCTTTTGAATCTTACAGGTATTTAATGGTAAAATTAGCTTCTTTTTTTTGGAACACATCACATTTAGGGAATAAGAGCTGTGAGACAGGCGGAGACTGAATCAAACTTCCCATCACAGATTGAGCAACAGGGGCTGGGTACTGAAAACAACAACCCAGAGCCTGCAGATCCTCCAGGATCTCCTCTGCACTGATGCACACTGACCGACCCGCAGACACTCTCCTCATGTCACTGCGTGCTGGAGCCGGTTTGGAGCAACACATCTGGGAGTAACCCTGCACAACTCACCGGAGTTTCCCGCAGCTTTGCATAAAATTTCACCTGCATGCGTCAGAGCGCACACTCCTCTTATCCCCGCGCGCAAACACACACACACACACACACACACACACCGCGCGCACATACACAAGGAGGAGTGCGCCTGTTCCTCGGAGAGCAGCCAGGAGAGGCTGAAAACATCCACACCGCCTGGTTCGTCGTACCTTGACGTGCGTAATCATTTTGCGCTTCATTCCGCATCCTGACCGCCGGAGGGTTCAGACAGCGCGCTCAGCAGGTACACTACTTTTATTCTTCCCATTAAAATCTGCAAATAATGCTTTAAGGACATTTATTGTTTGACATGGGGTGTTGCTTGGTGAAGTGATGGCACACACACTTTGTTTCTGTCACTTCGGGTAACCACAGCTGAGATAGAAACAGAAAACACGCGGCAGAGAGGGATTATGCATCTGTCATGATGTCATGTGATTAATTGCTTTATTGATTGGAATAACTCACTAACAATGAGGTCCAAAAGTCTATAATCAAATAAAATAATCACATCAACTTTATTTATAACGCCATTTTGATACAAAGTGCTTACAAAATGTACAGGTAATTTCTGAAAATACATTGTAAGGTGAAGAAAATGAGTAACAGCAGCAGTTATCATCAACATAACCACTTACACAATCAGAATCTTAATAACTGACTGATTAAAAATGAAAACATCAGTCTATAACTCCAGAACTACAAAAAGTAGCTTCACCATCAATCTTCCATTTTTAAGCGAAAGGTAATTAATACTAAAAGTAACGTATACAAGATAGATATTTGATCAATAATGAGGTCAATTAAGGGACATACAAATATATTTTATCACTAATATAAGTAAAAACAGTTTGTTAGTATTTGCTGTTCGTCATTGTCTTGCTGACTGTTTTTGTAAACTAAAATGAGGTTGTAATGGATTCCTTTGGACTGACAAACATTTTGGACTTGTGTCCTTTTCTATATCTGACTTTGATCTGTGAAGCAGACACACTGCCTGAATGACTTGTTTGGTATTTATTCTAGAATCTGACATTATTGCAGCTCTGTCCTGGTGTATCAGAGACTGTGTGTGATGTTGCAGTGTAGGAGAGGTTGAGGTCTGGTTTTTTCAGACAGATCTGGTGTTTGGTGCATGTTACGTTCACAGTACTGCTGTGGAAAGTTGTTGTTTTCGGTGAAAGAGGAGTTGATTCATAAAAAGCCAAGTCTGAATATTTCCACCACCATGTTGGACTGTGTGATGGTGGATATAGGGACTGAGGGACCCTGACGTCTTCCTTTATCTGACTGAGAATGTGACTGAGCATGTTAAAGAGAATATAACTGAATGAATGCTGTTTGAAAAAGATTCGGTACTTTAGGTACTTTTAATTTACTTTATACACCACTACATTCACCTGACAGCTTTAGTTAGTCTATGGAATAAAATTTATATAAACAGTCAACAAAATATGATAAATTAATGAAAAAGTAGTTGCTGTTGTCTCCACGTCGACCTGCTACAACATTAAAATGTGGCGGATGTCTGTAGCCAACAAAGCTGCTTACACCCGAGTGTATATTTCTGTTCCTGTGTTATGTACACATATACACAGTGTACATTTAGCAGCTTCATACATCCTAAAAAATGTAAACAATAAGTCAACTAAGTCTATAAATGATAAGCCAATGTTGACTCAAACCTCAGTCTCCTGTGTGAAAGTCCTGTGCTTGACAACCCAGAAATCGTCAAAATCCAGCACTTGGGCAGTAACCTGTGGTGTCAGACACTGATGAAAAAAGCCGTCCTTTTAGCGTTGCATGATATGCAGCCGGTCGCTGTTATAGTTCAATGGCACTCAGCAGCATCGGGGGGAACGCGGCGGGACAAGATCGAAAGTTAAGGCGGCGAAAGTCCAAGGAGGGTGGGTGGGAGATTGTAACGTGGCCTTGTATCATGCCGACATGAAAGGACATTTTTTCAAACTCGGTCTCACTCCAAAGTCATAGAAATCCGGTGCTTGGGCAGTGACTCACGGTGTCAGAAACCAATAAAAAAAGGCATCCTTTAAGGTCGGCATGACACGCGTATGGTTGCTGTTATGGTTCAACGCTGCCCAGCAGCTTCAGGGGGAAACGCGACCGTACAAGGACGAAAGTTAAGGCAGCAAAAGTCCAACAATCACCAACTTGGATGTGATGTCCTTAACGTAAAGTTATGGAGGTAATGTTAAGGATAAGAAACATGGTGAGGATGTACCTTATAGTAAAGTTCACTGAACGTTCACACCAGCCACCAGTGATTTGACCAGCTAGATAGCAGTTCAACTTTTATCTATGGTGGTCAGTCAGTGTTTGGTTTGTCTGTTCTGGGCTACTGTAGAAACATGGCGGTGCAACATGACGATCTCAGTAGACAAGGACCCGCTTCGTATGTAGACAGAAACGTCTCATTCTAAGGTAAAGAAAACAACAGTTCTTATTTTCAGGTGATTATACACTAAAGAAAACACACTTATATTCCATTTCTGCGAGTTGGATTTTGTTTCCTTTGGACGGAGCTAGGCTAGCTGTTTCCCTCTGTTTCCAGTCTTTATGCTAAGCTAAGCTAACTGGCTGCTGGCTGTAGCTTCATATTTACTATACAGAGATGAGAGTTGTATTAATCTGAACATCAGACTCTCCACAAGAATCTCCCTAAATGTCAAACTATTCCTTTAACTCCTCTGATTAAAACCACTCAGATGCAACTTGCATCAACTAACTGGAGTGTGAAATTGCCTCCTCAACAAACTGAGGTTTTGTTTGCTTTCCTCGCTGATCCACTCGTCGTCTGTCAGTCCGTCATATTTGTAACAGTTCTCATAATTGTGGTCGGTGTTGTGCAGCACAACAAGTGATTTAGAGCCCAGAACATCGAGGCGCTGCGAGACGCTCGCAGCCCAACAACCCCGCTCTGTGTGCTGGCTTAGACATGGCGGCTCCACCCTGACACCCCCACCCCACCCATTACTCTGCACCCAACCAGCACACACAAACACATACACACACAAACACACACACACACACACACACACACTGTCGCCTGCAGTGGCCCGTGTCAACCCCTGAAATGAAAAGAGGGGGTGTATTCTCTGCAGCGACACACACACACACACACACACACACACACACACACACAGTCGACCTCAATTTGTTTAAATGGTGATCAGGAAACAACAGGTTAACTGAATGTGACTGTGTGTGTGTGTGTGTGTGTGTGTGTGTGCAGGAATATGTGGCTTTCGATGTTAATGAAGAAGAAGTCTCTTTATGAATAGAAGTTTCTGTCGTGTTGACTAATGTATTTGCCATCTACTGGCTGCAGCTTGAAAGGAAATGTTCTTCTAAATAGTCCAAGTGTGTGTGTTTTTGTGTGTTTGTGTGTGTTTGTGTGTGTGTGTGTTTTCATTACTATTTGTGCAGCCTCTTGAGGACATGTTTTCTGAACTTTCCCCCTATTTAGCAGAAATATAAATGAAGCAAAAACATTTTTTCAGGGTGAAAACATTGACAGACTGTGTTGAAACCTCAAACAAATGAAATTCAGATGAGCCACAAGATCTATTTGTAGGCGTCTGAACGTGAAGCACTGTCCTCAGGTTTCCAACCATCACATTCATTCCTGGTTTCCTCACAGCAAACAATAATTATTCCTTTAAATCCAGAACAAACTAGTTTGCACAAAGTGTCACATATGCAAAAACGTAAGGTAAAAGTGTTCAAAGGTCCAGTGAGTAGGGGTTAGGGGGACATTGAATATAATACAGTAAGTGCGTTTTCTTTAGTGTATAATCATGTGAAAGTTTGAATTGTTATATTATTTCACTGCCATGTTTCTACAGTAGCCCAGAGAGGACAAACCAAACACTGTTTCTGTGTTTTCGTATCCACTACCACAGTTAGAAGCCCATCTGCAATGAGCAGCGTTGGAAAAACACTGATTTGTACTGTGAAACTGTTTTATTCAGTGTTTTTACCGGTTTTAATCACCTGGGCTCTCATTCATAAAACAATGCGTAGGATCCAAAATAAAAATGTGTGTGTGCTAAAAAATATTTGACAATTTCTACAATCAGGCTCCCACCTCACCATCTGCGTCGGTAGTTTCCCACCTCCAAAGTGTTCATAGGCATGGGTCAAAGTTTCTCCCTTCAAGTCTGTTTTTATACATCCTGACTTTTGAGTGGAAGGTGGAGTGTGCCTCTTTCGGGCCTCGTTTTGTGCGTACGCAATGTTTATAAATGAAGAGACCTCTGTGGAAAATTTGGCTCCCCAGAAAAACCTCCTGAACATCTGGATCACAAAAGGTGAGAATACATTAGCAAGTGGTGGCGGGCCGCCGTCTCTGAAACAGTATCTTTATTCAGTGTTTTTACCAGTTTTAATCACCTGGTCAGTTTGTTTTGGGGCAGAAGAGACCTCTACAGATAATCTGTAGGATAGTCGCATGGATAGCTTAATAACTGGGCTAACTGGGCACAGGCCCAGAGGTCCAAAGTGTCAGGGCCTCCCTAGCCTTTACCTGAAAAAATGGCACTCAAACAAACACGTGCCGACCAGCGAGAAACCCAACAACTGACCACAAAGAAACATAAAACAACTACAAAGAGACACAAAGAGACTTGCAAGGTCTACAAAAAAAAGTCCAAAGGGGCAATACTTGGGTGCAAAGCAACTACAAAGAGATTCAAAATTAACACAAAGAGACACAAACTGACCACAAAGAAGCGTAAAACAACTACAAAGAGACATAACAGGACAACAAAGAGGTGTAAAACAGCTGCAAAGAGACACAAAGACACTCACAATGACTGCGTTGTTGTACTGACATATTCTGTGTACTGTGAAAGAGACTGTATGTAAACTGTACGTCCTGTGAAAACGGGAGTGTATTTTGAAAGAAGACTATGCCCAAGCTAGGGGTTGGGCCCCTCCAAAGGTTGACCAGATAAATCTGAGGGGTCGTCACATGATTAATGGGAGAGAGAAGAAGAAGAAGGACCTACATTGGGACACACATCCTGATTATTAAACCTTTGAACTTCTCAGCTATGACAGTGAAGCACAAAGACACCACTCATCCTCATGACGCTTTAAAGAGCAGAAAATCTCAACTGTCACCCTCAAACCATCCTCCCCTGTCTCCTCACCCCATCCTCCCCCACTGTGAGAGGATAATATACGACTCTTTGTCCCCCTGAACCGCTCGCCCGTCTCTGG